CTAGGCTTAGAGGTTCATTAAAATAGCGCAGGAATAACGGGTGCAAGAGGCCACAAACCCGCTTGAGGCTTTGGGGATCCCCACCTCCCTCAGGTCGGGAGGGGGGGGGCAAACCCTGCCTTTTGTTTGCTGGTGAGGGATGCGCATTGTGGCAGCAGCCGAGCAAAGGGGGGAAATTAATTGCAGCCAATTAATAATTAATCCCCTTTAAACAACTTTATTATCTCTCCCGAACGACAGGGATTTGTCTGATAACCCCCCGAAGACCAAATGTCAAGTTTAACCAAATAGTTATTGCTTTATCAACCCGAGTCTGCAAATAAATTAATCAAAAGCAAATCTGTCCTTTGTGCGGCTCATTTGCTGGTAATGGATGGATATGAAGATTTGCCGATATTATTGTCTGTCATTCAATCTAACAAAGTGAACATTTATTGCATATATATTAAAAATTATCCCGGAATCGAGTGGCGCCGGGTTGCATTTATTGGAGTCTTCCCAGGGGTGAGGTCCCCTCGGATGGGAGCGCGTGGGGAAGAGAGAAAGTGCAAGAGCGCGCGTCCCAAATCTCTTTAAGCCTCGGCGCCCGCCTCGGCGCCCTCCCCGCGGCGTCCCGCCCCGTAGCCTTTGCCCTCAGCCGCGGGACGTGCTGGCCTCCGCCTGCCGCTCCGCCCGGGCCAGCAGAGCGTGGGGAAGCCGAGATGCTGTCAAAACAGAGGCCGGGAGCCCAGAGCGCGAGGGGACCGGCCCGAGGAAATTTGGGGTGTGATTGAAGAGAGAGAGACGGGAGGGGGGGACAGTTTCTCTTTGTCTTCTCTCGGGTTACATCATTTTCTAATTAGGCATAAAATTGTCTTCATACACTGGTATTGCTGCCTTCATAAACATCACCATTATGGACCATAAGGACGCCATTGTGGGGAGGCCGTCCCCAAAATAGAAAGAGCTAGGGAGGGAGAGGCCTGGAGTCCGGGAGGCCAGGCTTTGTCCTCCCCTGGGAGAAGATGGATGGCCAGTGTCACGCAGATGATGACTTGGGACTATTAAATTGTCAGAGGGGAAGAATCTTTACCAGCCCCCAACGCTGATGACAAATTCTGGAGGCAGGATCCGGAGGATCTTGGAGGGTCTTGGGTAGAAAGCCAGGGCCGGGTGGCTGGGTTAGCTCGGCAGGTTGGAGGAGAGGCAGGTTATCTGCCGGCAGGTGCTGAGTGGAGGGCAGTGGGGGGCGAAGGCGGGGGGGGGGGGGGGGGGGGGGGGGGGCGAAGCTTCCCTCTCCTTCCAGGCATTCTGGCCTCAGCTGTGCTCAGCGCTCAGGGCACACCTGATTTCGAGCTGACTTCCCATCCCAACCCCATCGCCAAGGCTGGGGGGCAAGTGGGGTCAGAGAAAGGAGAGGGCAGCAAGCCCGGAGCAGATAAGGGCAGTGCCAGGCGGGGAGACAATTGTTCTCATTATTTGGAGCTGAGGCCCAAGCCCGGCCTCCCGCCTGGTCGGGGGGCCGTCGCTAAATGGATGGAGATGGATGGAGGCGCCCCGAGCCCCCGGCGTCGTGTCAGACCCCGGGCAATTACTGTCCCGCCAGGCTGGACGCACTGCCGTCCACCCTGACCCCGGCGCGCGGGCCCACTGGCTACCCGCGCCGACTGGGCTATTCGTTCTCTCGCCTGTACAATAACCCGACTTGACATAAATAACTCCCCCGCGCTTGTCTACATCTGCTTGACCCTCTGAACCTGCGGAAAACCTTTGCCGCATTTAGCCAAATTACATTTTTCTTTGGGGGGCGGGGAAAGGTTTTAAAACTGCAAATTCTCCTCTTCTGCTTTGGGCACCGCTAGCCAGGTTTCTGGTGTATTTGGAATTGTCACTTCGTTTAGAGACAAACCAATTCCCTCCTCTGCAAAGACCGGTTTCTCCCGGCTTATGCTGTTCCAGGTACCCTCAGCTTTCCAAGTGAGCCAGTCACCTTTGAGTTCCAGACACTGGTCCCGCCTTGATATCCCGTCCCTTGGCAGGTCCTGGGAGAGTGGGGAGAGGGAAGGGAAGTTTCCGGGGGTGCCCACCGCTTTGCTAGGTCCTGGGCTGTCTGGGAGCGCAGTTAGGGGAACAGGCCAGCGGGCCAGAGCAGCCTGGCGCCCGGCGTGTGCTTGCCTTGACCGGCTCCAGCAAGGGTGCGGGGCGGGGCGGGGAGGTTGCGGGGGGCGAAGGACGGACCCGGAAATGCCCGCGCTGGCGCCACGCGCTGCGGTCGCCAGGCGCCAGGACAGGAGGGAGCCGATGGCGGGGAGGGGAAGGAGAATGATTTCAAAGATTCCAAGGAATAGACTGGCGAGGCCTGGGTTCTGCCTGCCTGGATCCAGCTGGAGCGGGCCTGGAAATGCCAGAGCTAGTCTCGCTCTGGCTTCCTCTGGATGGGCGGGTGGGGGCGTAGATGCCTCTGACTTCCTGTCAGTCATCTCAGCCAGAGGGACCGGGATAGCATTTTAGAACTTCAGAGATAGGAGGGCTCTTAGAAGTCAGATGGTCAGAGTTACCTCCAAGTATGAAGTTGTAGCAAGTCTCTCCTCCCCCTCCATCCAGGTGTGGCCTCTGGACCTCTGATGTCCCTCCCTGCAGAGGAGTATGTCAGGAGCTGGGGCTGGACCTCGCTGGAGCAAAGCTCTGTTGAGTTTAGGTTCTGTGGCCTTGGCTCTCCTTGCTCAAGAGTGATGGGAAGTGGCAATTACAGGAACAAGACCTTGACTTAGCAGCTGTTATTAACGGACTGAGACACCCAGGTGCTCCCTAACAGCTCTTATTAAAACAAGACAAAA